GGTACTGTTCAGGAAAATCTGCGTGGGGGGTAGGGGGCGAAGAGCTATATAGTTAATACACAATCTCTCTAACCTCTAGATGAGGGTTCTCAACAGGGGACCATGGACTCCTGTGACATCCATAGATAAAGGCAGTCCTTGAACTCTATGAAACTTTGTAACATTTTCATGTATGTGCATTTTCATGGTTTTTTAAAAATCAGATTCTAAAAGGATTCCATGACACAAAAAAGGTTAAGAACTACTAGCTAAATTATGTTCTTTTTACCCACGTTTAATCTGCTTTTTAAAAAGTAGACCTAAGTAACTCTTTGGAGAATGAAAAAAACTACCACAACAGGAATACTGGGCACCCGAAATTCTGGAAAAACTGCTAGGTACAGCATGTTTCATTGGATGAACCTAAGAATCATGCGGAAAATCAAAAAAATCTGGTCCTACTCAACTAGGTGCTGACGATAGGAAAAAAACTCAAAACTTTTCTCTTTTTTTTTCCTCTTTATGCCTTTTGTCATCCTGTAAGGATCATGGGACCTTCCTTAGCAGAGGAATATCTCCTACATCAAATCAGAACTATCGGGACTTCCCTGGTGACACAGTGGTTAGGAATCCGCCTGCCAATGCAGGGGACATGGGTTCAAGCCCTGGCCCAGGCAGATCTCACGTGCCGCGGAGCAACTAAGCCCGTGTGCCACAACTACTGAGCCTGCGCTCTAGAGCCCATGAGCCACAACTACTGAGCCTGCGTGCCACAACTACTGAAGCCCGCGTGCCACAACTACTGAAGCCCGCGGGCCTAGAGCCCGTGCTCCACAACAAGAGAAGCCACTGCAATGAGAAGCCTGCACACTGCAACGAAGAGTAGCCCCCGCTCGCTACAACTAGAGAAAGCCCACGCACAGCAATGAAGACCCAACGCAGCCAAATGAATGAATGAATTAATTTAAAAAAATCAGAAGCATTATCTGGTAATGCTGGTATTTGGATTAAATGAATACATTGGCTCAAGGCCTGGAAATATTAGGGATGGATAAGCCAGCAGCTGAGGGGTGTGACAATATCATGCCATCTTGATATGGCCTACTCATAATTCCATAAATGCCTCACTCTGAACTCTTCAGCATTAGAACGTAAAATTCTCCTTTGTGTTGAATGGGAAGACTATGTTTTTACCATGAAGTTCAAGTCATTTTTAGGATATCATCTTCCACACCACAACTCTTGCCTAATATCATTTCCTTTATAGTGTGACTGAAGTGAGGTTTTTTTGTTTTTTTGGTTTTTTTCGGTTCGCGGGCCTCTCACTGTTGTGGCCTCTCCCGTTGCGGAGCACAGGCTCCGGACGCGCAGGCTCAGCGGCCGTGGCTCACGGGCCCAGCCGCTCGGCGGCATGTGGGATCTTCCCAGACCGGGGCACGAACCCGTGTCCCCTGCATCGGCAGGCGGACTCTCAACCACTGCACCACCAGGGAAGCCCGAAGTGAGAATTTTTTTGTACAGAGTTCACTAAAATCCTGATGCAGTTTACCTTTTGTTAATTTATTAGAAGCATAATCCATAGTAATTTATGCCTTTCTGTTATATAAAACCATATCTACCCCAAACGATTCATTTGTAATTTGACATGAATTATATTATTTTTCACTTTCCAAACATCTTGCTTAGGCCAATATTAAAGTAGCTTAAAGGCCCAAAGCATACAGAAAAATGGGAATATGACCCTGAAGAACTTTAAATACCAAGATGAAACTAAATTAGAATAATGGGCTGTGGGTTATAATACATTATTACATTATAATAATATATTAGTAAATATAGTCATAGCAAGCTTAAGAGAAGGAATTTTATTTATTGATCTTCATAGTCTCTACAGAACTTAGCACAGTGTCTAGAACAAAGTAGATTCCAGAAGAGTCTGATAAATAATCTCTTAAATATTTATTTTCTTTGCTTGCCTGTATTTATGTTAACAGAAAAACTCTGAATTGTTGGGCCCCAAATTCAGTTGAGGTATCGCTAGTTTAGTCCTATATTTTCTATAGCCATCTTTATATTGTGTTGTAGCAAGACCCTTAAGAATTTCACTTCTGTATTTTATCATGAGGACATAATCTGAAAGTCAACAAAACTGCATGCACAATGATATCTGTAAAATCCTTAATTATAAAAGCAAACACTGAAAATAACTTAAGTGTCAACAATGGGAAAATGGCTAACTAGTTAAAATGGAATGCTTAAAGTAAGTTTTATTTAATTAAATAAATTACATTAAGAATATAATTAATTTTAACAACATTAAGGTAATGTTTATATGATAATATTAAGTAAAAAAAACAGGCTACAAAAATGTATATACATTTTACATATCAACTATGTAAAAAATATACAAAGGAAAAAAGTTGGAAAGAAAACATAATTCATCAGTTTAAAGATATATGCTCTACCACACACATTTTCTAAAATTGGGATTCATTGTATCACCAAGTATATATTAACTGTAGTACCCTTGTTTTTCTAAAAGGTTGTTGGAATATTTGAATTTCCTTTCATGCCTTACTTTTTTAATGTCAATTGGTTATCTGGGTAGTGGGCCATTTTGTGGGTAATGGGTCATTTTGTGCTTTCCTGTATTTAAAAAAAAACCCCTATATTTAAATTTTTTTAGAAAATTAGTGTTATGGGAAATTCTAGCCAAAGTCTCTAACACTATGATGTATATATATTTTTCATTTTTCTTCTGGAAAGAAGATGAAGTTAACAAATTATGATCATGAAGTAATTTTTACCAGGATTTGTGTGACCTTTCTAAGAAAGTAAATACATATATATCAATAAGGAAAAAGTACATGCAGTTTTGCAGAATGTCCATGAGAAGTCATACATCTTTCTTTGTTAATGCTCACTTGCTATTTAATGTTTCTATTAGAAAGTTGAGAGAGACTTGCCCCTTAGTACTTTGAATGAGGCTACAAAGTTGTGTGAATGTCAATGTTGAAACTGCCGCAAGTGAGGAATAAAAGTACACACTGTCACCAAGCGCCCACAGTATTTGCTTGGTGGAGGTATTAAAGGGATCAGAACCCATTGCCCTCTTCCTTGAAGCTGTCACTCAATACTGCGCGGGAAGTTGGGCTGTAGGTTGTCCAGCAAACACTGTCCAGCTCTAGGACCACGCAAGCCATGTCAGCTTGGGTGGCCCTGGACTACACAAATATTTGAGATAGTCTCATCTTTGTCAGGAGACGAAATGCAATGCAAATAAGACAAAAATTTTGCTTAGAAATGTCTTAGAGAATAAAGGGAAAATTTTTAAAATGTTTGAATGTTTTTTGCTTTTTTAATATCCTAAAATTTCCATTTCATTTCATTTAAAACCCTTGTCCAGAGACAGGAGATCATCTTTATTTTTGGCAAGGTTCTAAATGGCTAGGCAACTATCCTAACATAATTTATTTACTAATTAATCTTTTCCACATTGATTTGAAATAATGCCTGTATCATTTACAAAATTCCCATATACACATTCTATTTTTAGACTCCCAACACTATTCCACTGAAGTGTAGATTTCTTGGCATAACATACCAAATTGTTTCAAGCATTATAGCTTCATGATTAAATATCCAATTGGGTCAGTGTATTAATTATCTATTGTTGCATAACAAGTAACCCCTGAAATTCAGCATCATAAAACAACATTACCTCACACAATTGTAAGGAATCTGGGGGCAGCTTAGATGGGTGGTTCTGCCTCAGAGTCTCACAAGGTGGCTATCCAGGTGTAGGATGGGGCTGAAGTCATCTCAAGGCTTGACTGGGCTGAAGGAGCCACTTCTAAGGTCACCCACATTGTTGTTGTTGACAGGGATTGGTTCCTCACTTGATGCTGGCCAGAGGTTTTAGTTCCTTGCCACATAGGTCTTTCCACAGGGCTGCTCACAATATGGCAGCTTGTATCCTCCAGGGTGAGAGACCAGGGGATGGGGGGATGTCCAAGGCAGAAGCCTGTCTTTTATAACCTAATCTTGAAGCTGACATATCCTTACCTCTGTCATATGTTATGGGTCACACAGACCAATTAATTTGTAAATTAATAGTGTTCCAGATTTTAAAAAGTATAGCATTCTCAGTTAAATATAATTTTCAGATAAACATCAAAATTTAGTATATCGCAATAAAGTGAGTCACATGAATTTTTCGGTTTCCTAGTGCACGTATAAGTTATGTTTACACTATAATGTAGTCTAGTAAGTGTGCAACAGCATTATGTCTGAAAAGACAATGCACATACCTTAATTAAAAAATACTGTTGGATAGCATTTTACCCACAGAACTTCTTTCAAAATTAGAGTCAATCCTCTTAAACCCTGGCACTGCTTTATCAACTAACTTTATGTAATACAGTAAGTCCCCTACATACGAATGAGTTCTGTTCCGAGAGTGCGTTCGTAAGTCCAATTTGTTCGTTAAGTCCAACAAAGTTAGCCTAGGTACCCAACTAACACAATTGGCTATATAGTACTGGACTGTAATAGGTTTATAATACTTTTCACACAAATAATACATAAAAAACAAACACGAAAAATAAAGAAGACATTTTTAATCTTACAGTACAGTACCTTGAAAAGTACAGTAGTATAGTACAACAGCTGGCATACAGGGGCTGGCATCGAGTGAACAGGCGAGAAGAGTTACTGACTGGAGGAGGGAGAGGTGGTGGGATCACCAGCAATAGGAGACGGAGGGCAAGATGCAATTTCACTCACGCCCGACACTGTCAGCACAGGTTCTGGTTGCTCGCTGGATTCAATTCTATCTATCCTCTTGAAAGAACGATCCAGTGATGTCTGAGTAGTAGCTCTTTTTTTCTTGTCAGAAATGACACGGTAGCACTGGATTGCATTCTGAATGGCCGCTGCAACCTTCGTGTACCATTCTATGTTCGGGTCCTGTGCCTCAAAAACTAACAGTGCCTCCTCAAATAAAAAAAATCACCTTGATATTTCCTGCGTCATGAATCTCTTCAGTTCTTCAGTTACTTCTTCCTCCTCTTGTCTCTCTTCGTCCTTTCTCTGGGCCTCCAATTCCATCAGATCTTCACTAGTATGCTCTCCATGTTGCACAGCCAGGAGTTCAATGAAGTCGTCCTCTTGCAGATCTAGCTCCACCTTCTCTCTGAGGGTCACTAAGTTGCTGAAGAGCTCTTTGGACTCCTCATCCACCTTCTCAAATACACGAAAATCATGAACAAAGGTTCTTCCAAACCCCATTCATGGTGACGGCCATAACCTCACGCCAAGCAAAATCAATGGTTTTTATGGCCTTGTAGATGTTATAGTCCTTCCAAAATTGTCGCAAGGTTGTTTCTGATTCGTCACTTGCCTTTACCGCCTGACGAAAAGTATTATGTAAATAATATTTCCTGAAAGTCACTATAACTCCCTGGTCCATAGGTTGGATGAATGACACAGTATTCGATGGCAGATGCACTACTTTGACGTTGGGATGAAAGTCATCCATGAATGGGGGTGGCCCAGAGCACTGTTGAGCAGCAAAAGAATGTTGAATGGGACGTCCTTCTCCAAGCAATATTCCTCTACCTCTGGGATAAAGTGGTGGAAAAACCAGTGCTGGAAAATGGCCTGTGTAACCCAGGCTTTGGGGTTACTCTTCCACACAACAGGAAGAGAGCCCTTGGCTATGTTTTTAAGGGCTCTTGGGTTCTCTGAATGATAAACTAAGAGAGGCTTCAGCTTCATATCACCAGAAGCATTGCCACCAAACAACAGAGTTAGCCTATCCTTTGCTGCTTTATAGCGGGGCAACCACTTTTCCTCCTTACTGATATAACTTTGGTCTGGCATCCTCTTCCAGTACAGTCCTGACTCATCTACAATGAAAACCTGTGCCTTCATCAATAATTTCGCAAAGTGTTTCAGGAAATTCCTGGGCAGCTACCATACCTGCATTCGCTACTTCACCACATACTTTTTTTTTTTATTGGAGTAAAATTGCTTTACAATGTTGTGTTAGTTTCTGCTGTATAACGAAGTGAGTCAGCTATATGTATACATATATCCCCTCCCTCTTGGACCTCCCTCCAATCCCCACCCCCATCCCACCCAGCTAGGTCATCACAGAGCACCAAACTGAGCTCCCTGTGCTTTATAGCAGGTTCCCACTGCTATCTATTTTACACACAGTAGTGTATTTATGTCAAACCTAATCTCCCAATTCATCTCACCCTCTCCTTCCCGCCCTGTGTCCACACGTCCTTTCTCTACATCTGCATCTCTATTCCTGTCCTGGAAATAGGTTCATCTGTACTATTTTTCTAGATCCCACATATATGCAGTAATATACGATATTTGTTTTTCCCTTTCTGACTTACTTCACTCTGTATGACAGTCTCTAGGTCTATCCACCTCATTACAAATAGCTCAATTTCGTTTCTTTTTAAGGGTGAGTAATATTCCATTGTATATACGTGCCACATCTTCTCTATCCATTCATCTGTCAATGGGCATTTAGGTTGCTTCCATGACCTGGCTTTTGTAAATAGTGCTGCAGTGAACATTGGGGTGCATGTGTCTTTTTGAATTATGGTTTTCTCAGGGTATATGCCCAGTTGTGGGATTGCTGAGTTATATGGTAATTCTATTTTTAGTTTTTTAAGGAACCGCCATACTGTTCTCCATAGTGGCTGTATCAATTTACATTCCCACCAACAGTGCAAGAGGGTTCCCTTTTCTCCACACCCTCTCCAGCATTTACTGTTGGTAGATTTTTGATGATGGCCATTCTGACCAGTGTGAGGTGATGCCTCATTGTAGTTTTGATTTGCATTTCTCTAATAATTAGTGATGCTGAGCAGCTTTTCATGTGCTTCCTGGCCATCTGTATGTCTTCTTTGGAGAAATGTCTATTTAGTTCTTCTGCCCAGTTTTGAATTGGGTTGTTTGTTTTTTTGATATTGAACTGCATGAGCTGATAATATATTTTGGAGATTAATCCTTTGTCCATTGATTTGTTTGCAAATATTTTCTCCCATTCTGAGGGTTGTCTTTTCATCTTGTTTATAGTTTCCTTTGCTGTGCAAAACGTTTTACGTTTCATTAGGTCCCATTTGTTTATTTTTGTTTTTATTTCCATTACTCTAGGAGGTGGGTCAAAAAAGATCTTGCTGTGATTTATGTCAAAGAGTGTTCTTCCTCTGTTTCCCTCTAAGAGTTTTAGAGTGTCTGGTCTTACATTTACGTCTTTAACACATTTTGAGTTTATTTTTGTGTATGGTGGTAGGAGTGTTCTAATTTCATTCTTTTACATGTAGCTGTCCAGTTTTCCCAGCACCACTTATTGAAGAGACTGTCTTTTCTCCATTGTATATCCTTGCCTCCTTTGTCATAGATTAGGTGACCATAGGTGCATGGGTTTATCTCTGGGCTTTCTATCCTGTTCCATTGATCTATATTTCTGTTTTTGTGCCAGTACCATGTTGTCTTGATTACTGTAGCTTTGTAGTATAGTCTGAAGTCCAGGAGCCTGATTCCTCCAGCTCTGTTTTTTTTCCCTCAAGACTGCTTTGGCTCTTCAGGGTCTTTTGTGTCCCCATACAAATTTTAAGATTTTTTGTTCTAGTTCTGTAAAAAACGCCATTGGCAATTTGATAGGGATGGCATTGAATCTGTAGATTGCTTTGGGTAGTATAGTCATTTTCACAATATTGACTCTTCCAATCCGAGAACATGGTATATCTCTCCATCTGTTGGTATGATCTTTAATCTCTTTCATCAATGTCTTATAGTTTTCTGCATACAGGTCTTTTGTCTCCCTAGGTAGGTTTATTCCGAGGTATTTTATTCTTTTTGTTGCAATGGTAAATGAGAGTGCTTCCTTAATTTCTCTTTCAGATTTTTCATCATTAGTGTAGAGGAATGCAAGAGATTTCTGTGCATTAATTTTGTATCCTGCAACTTTACCAAATTCATTGATTAGCTCTAGTAGTTTTCTGGTGGCATCCTTAGGATTCTCTATGTAGAGCATCATGTCATCTGCAAACAGTGACAGTTTTACTTCTTCTTTTCCAATTTGTATTCCTTTTATTTCTTTTTCTTCTCTGATTGCCGTGGCTAGGACTTCCAAAACTATGTTGAATAATGGTGGTGAGAGTGGACATACTTGTCTTGTTCCTGATCTTAGAGGAAATGCTTTCAGTTTTTCACCATTGAGAATGATGTTTGCTGTGGGTTTGTCGTATATGGCCTTTATTATGTTGCAGTAGGTTCCCTCTATCCCACTTTCTGGAGAGTTTTTATCATAAATGGGTGTTAAATTTTGTCAGAAGCTTTTTCTGCATCTATCAAGATGATCATATGGTTTTTATTCTTCAATTTGTTAATATGGTGTATCACATTGATTGATTTGCATATATTGAAGAATCCTTGCATCCCTGGGATAAATCCCACTTGATCATGGTGTATGATCCTTTTAATGTGTTGTTGGATTCTGTTTGCTAGTATTTTGTTGAGGATTTTTGCATCTATATTCATCAGTGATATTGGTCTGTAATTTTCTTTTTTTATAGTATCTTTGTCTGGTTTTGGTATCAGGGTGATGGTGGCCTCATAGAATGAGTTTGGGGGTGTTCCTTCCTCTGCAATATTTTGGAAGAGTTTGAGAAGGATGGGTGTTAGCTCTTCTCTAAATGTTTGATGGAATTCACCTGTGAAGCCATCTGGTCCTGGACTTTTGTTTGTTGGAAGATTTTTAATTATAGTGTCAGTTTCATTACTTGTGATTGGTCTGTTCATATTTTCTATTCCTTCCTGGTTCAGTCTTGGAAGGTTATACCTTTCTAAGAATTTGTCCATTTCTTCCAGGTTGTCCATTTTATTGGCATAGATTTGCTTCTAGTAGTCTCTTAGGATGCCTTGTATTTCTGCAGTGTCTGTTGTAACTTCTCCTTTTCCATTTCTAATTTTATTGATTTGAGTCCTCTCCATTTTTTTCTTGATGAGTCTGACTAATGGTTTATCAATTTTGTTTATTTTCTCAAAGAACCAGCTTTTAGTTTTATTGATCTTTGCTACTGTTTTCTTTGTTTCTATTTCATTTATCTCCGCTCTGATCTTTATGATTTCTTTCCTTCTGCTAACTTTGGGTTTTGTTTGTTCTTCTTTCTCTAGTTCCTTTAGGTGTAAGGTTAGATTGTTTATTTGAGATTTTTCTTGTTTCTTGAGGTGAGATTGAATTGCTATAAACTTCCCTGTTAGAACTGCTTTTACTGCACCCCATAGGTTTTGGGTCATCGAGTTTTCATTTTCATGTGTGTTTCTATGCACTTTTTTTAATTTCCTCTTTGATTTCTTCAGTGATCTCTTGGTTATTTAGCAGCGCACTGTTTATACTCCATGTATTTGTGTTTTTTACAGGGTTTTTTTTCCTGTAATTGATTTCTAATCTCATAGCACTGTGGTCGGAAAAGATGCTTGATACAATTTCAGTTTTCTTAAATTTTCCAAGGCTTGATTTGTGACCCAAGATGTGATCTATCCTGGAGAATGCTCTGTGAGCACTTGAGAAGAAACTGTATTGTGCTGCTTTTGGGTGGAATGCCCTGTAAATATCAGTTAAATCTATCTGGTCTATTGTGTCATTTAAAGTTTGTGTATCCTTATTTATTTTCTGTCTGGATGATCTGTCCATTGGTGTAAGTGGGGTGTTAAAGTCCCCCACTATTATTGTGTTACTGTCAATTTCCCCTTTTATGGCTGTTAGCATTTGCCTTATGTACTGAAGTGCTCCTATGTTGAGTGCATAAATATTTATAATTGTTATATCTTTTTCTTGGGTTGGTCCCTTGATTAACCCAAGATCATTATGTGGTGTCCTTCCTTATCTCTTGTAACAGTCTTTATTTTAAAGTCTATTTTATCTGATACGAGTATTGCTACTCCAGCTTCCTTTTGATTTCCATTTGCATGGAATATCTTTTTCCTTCCCCTCACTTTCAGTCTGTATGTGCCCCTAGGTCTGAAGTGGGTCTCTTAGACAGTATATATATGGGTCTTGTTTTTGTATCCATTCAGCCAGTCTGTGTCTTTTGGTGGGAGCATTCAATCCATTTACATTCAAGGTAATTATTGATATGTATGTTCCTATTACCATTTTCTTGTTTTGGGTTTGTTTTTGTGGGTCTTTTTTTAATATTATCTATCTATCTATATATATATTTATTTTATTTATCTGGCTGCATTGGGTCTTCAGTTGTGGCACGCAGGCTCTTCGTTGCAGTGTGCAGGCTTCTCTCTAGTTGCGGTGCACAGGCTCCAAAGCATGCTGGCTTAGTTGCTCTGCAGCATGTGGGATCTTAGTTCCCCAACCAGGGCCCAAACCTGCATCCCCTGCATTGGAAGGCGGTTTCTTAACAACTGGACCACCAGGGAAGTCCCTGCCTTTTTCTTCTTTTGTGTTTCCTGCTTAGAGAAGTTCCTTTAGCATTTGCTGCAAAGCTGGTTTGGTGGTGCTGAATTCTCTTAGCT